AAGATAAAGTAAAAGAAAAGAAGAAAGGCATGAAAAATATATAGCTTCCAATCTATCTCTGGTCTTGAGAATAGTAAGAGTGTCATAAGTGCTAGTTTTTAATGCATTAAATAGGAATAATTCTTTGCCAAGACCATTTATTAATTAATTTTAGTCTGCAAGGTATTCCAAGTTTACTTAAGACACATGAAAGCTGTGCTAGGTATAGGTCACACAAATCATCTCACATCACCGGAAGACTTAGTGTTTAACTTTTAAAATTATAATTGCTTTCCTATTGCAAACAGTAGAATTGCAATGGAATTGCCCTGTTTTCTATAATCTTCAACGTGATCTTGAGTCAATATGCTTTCATGGTTATTTTAATATCTTAAAATACACTCAGCACCCAAAACTCACCAGATTATACTTCCTCACTCATTGATGGTATATTATGAAGTGTGAAATAGACAAGTTCTCAGTATGACTGTTAGTGACAGACCTGTAAAACAAGGCATATATGAAATCAATAAATTGCATATTATGGCTAATAATGTGCCTAAAAATCATTTTTAAAATCCTTCTCAAATTAAAGGCTTGTTTACAAAATAGAAATTAATTCCTAATGGCTGCAATACCACATGCTATATGTTTAAGCCATATTGATCTCGTTTTCCCTCAAATGGGATCTGTATACAGAAGTCAGCAGACAGGAAAAGAATACTGTATATCACTAAAGACAGGCTGTGCTCAAAGTGAACAGGTGAAAAGGTAATTAGAAAATGACCCAAAACAAACAATTTTAGTTATTCAACCCTTGTGTTTTTTTAAAAATAAATTTTATTGAAAATTTTAATTACAACAGTAAAAGTAAATACAAACTAACCAATTTACTTTCCACAAAAGGTTATTTATAATTATTTCCTGGACTCATGTGTTTTTGACCTTAGGATGTTTACTTAATGTATTAAGAAAGAAATAGAAAAGGAAATTAATAGAGATTGTTACTGTAAAAAAAGTGGTCAAACTTCACTAAAATTTAAATGTTCTTTCAAAGAAAACTGGTTTGGAAAGAAGCAGTTTAAACAGAAAAGTAGTAAGTAGCTTCCTACTACAACATCTCCCACAAAATATCTCTTCCAAATGCACCTTTGCAAAACGTTCAAATGTGGCCAAAGCCTTAAATTATATAAATTAAATAAACAGTGCAATAAAAAGATGTGACAAATAATGTTTTATTATACAAGTATTCTTCTAAACAAAGTTTAATTAATAAGCTAAGAACACACATTATGCTAATTCATAATAAAGGATATCACAGCATGATTTAATGAATCCAGCCATTTAATTATAAATGAATATCATTTTGTGATCAAGTCTGAATCACTGTTTCAGAAATATGTGCAGTAGCATGAATGGAAAGTGTACATTAACTAACTACTATCTGTTATTTAGTCATTTATATTCTTATCTCATATCTGAGGAGTAAAAATGATCCATTCATATCTAACTAAAATGGCATAGGAGCTGTTTCTCCCTTCCTTCAATTCAAACATTGAGGTGGCATGAGAAGTGCAGAAATAGGCACATGAGACAAATTGGATGGATTCTTTTCACCGGATAATCATTAATCTGGGAGAGAAAGGGAGAAAGTTAACCAATTTATCCACTGATATGACTGCAGGCTTCCAACAGGAGCAATAGCACTGGAAGAAACCACAATAATTTAACTGTTTGCCAGAAATGCTTTTTCCTAATTAATGTATGCATTTATATGGTCACCCAACTCAGGCTATGAGACTAATAATAAACTTTCATGACTGCACTGGTTGCAAAAGCATACAAACATATTATCTTAATACTCCTGCCCAGCAAGGGAAGGGAGCTGAATGCCACATAAATGTGCAGGCTGGGCCACAGGGAACGCTCTAGAAAGAAGATTGGCACAGTGGCTAATGTTAACCCACCCCAGCAAGTTTCCTGGCAACAGAGGACCTGATTGGCACCCCAAGGCATTACATGCTGAAGAGCGTTGTCCTCCAGGAATCCGGACCTGCACTTGCAATCTATAGTGGTCATTGCTTCTGAGCACTGAGTTCTCCGAGCAAAGGGGTAGGGGAGAAACAAGGTTTAACCAGCTTTGCTGTAGCATGACAACCTTGGGTTGATTAACAACAACTTGGCAAAGCTTATCTTTTTTGCCTCACAGCAGACTTGGAACAAATCCACTCACCCAAGTTCCCAGTACATCAATTTTTTAATAAAAATAACAATTCCATATGAGAACGCGCACACACACACAGAGATACAGAGGGAGCGGGAAAAAAGATAAGATGACACAAACTGGAATCAGTACCTCTTGGGCTGGTTCAAAAACAGGTAGTCCCCAGTTTAAGAATGAGTTCCCTACCCAAGGCCTGTCAAGTCAAATTGTATGTAAGCAGGAACAGTATTACTGTATAATACTGTATATGTAGTATTGTGTAATGTACTCGAATCATTATGTATTTAATTCCAATCATTGTGTATTTAACTCAAATTTGGCTAAAATAAGCTCCATTCTTAACTATGGGTCATCTGTAACCCGGGCGCTCTTAACCTGGGGACTACCTGTATTACAATCTCAGTGCCTTCACATAAAAAAGAATTTCTGGACTAAGTAGGTTTTGCATTTGTTTGAAAAATTACCAGCCTCTAGCTATGAAGAGAAAAGCAATATTTCTTTGATTCATATCCCAATTTCTATTTCTGCTCATCAGCTTATCTGTAATCCGTCTAACCTTCCATAATGCATTCTCGCTCTTGATTTTTCTATCTCTCAGCAAATTCAGATGCCCAATTCCTTCCTTTTTTAAAAATCCATTGCTTATATCAGAACTACAATGTTTGTTCAATCAAAAGCATTTAATGAATTAAAAAGATGTCTTGATGAATTTGACAGCAGATTTTGAATTTGTAATGGAAAATGCATTTAGCAAGCCTCATCTTAGAAAATATGAAAAAGGAAGATGCTTCCTAAAATAGTTCAATTCTGGAAAATATAATATCCTTTTTTCTTCAGAACTACTCATATTTTGGAGAAGCTAGAGATTTGGAGATAGATGAGTTTTATAACAGTTTAAGAATTCTTTAACCTTACCTAACCTTACCTTTTTTTAATAAAAAGTATATGTAATACAACCTCAAACATATGCTTTTGGAATATCCATACCAACATAGTAATATACTCAAATCTCTGTAAATTAAAAAGAAGTCTACTGTCTCCTATTCCACCTGCCTAATTAAATACTTAACATTCAACAAAATTGATATTCAGGAACCATTTTTAAAGTTATTTAAATTACTGTCAAATTACATTATACACATCACAGAAGTGTGGGCAAAAATAATTGTAGTATGTATGTTCAAATATCTATTAAATTTAATTTGCATATATAGTCTTGGAAATCATTACAAATCCAAGGCTGTAATGTAGGCCAGGGGAGAACAGAATATGGAAAAAGTATCCATATTCCCTTCCAACTGTTACATGATCCACCAACTTGATATGCAAACATTGAAAAATAGTTATGTATTTGTTTAGGAAGCGTTTCACACATTTCCATGATAGCACATGCTTATCTCTTCCAGAACTCAGATCAATCAACTCCTATTTTAAATTGGTCTTTTCTGAGAAGATGATATGTCTTCTACTGAATTACTAGAAGTGCAGGTTAACAGGATTCTAGCCCAACCTTGATAGAAATATAGGGAATATCTACTGACTATGAATGAGTTTACTTCTCCAGGGCAGGACAGAGTGCATCCTAAATAGTAAAGAAACTTGTTGATCAAATTCTGAACTCCTATCTATTTTTCCTGAAAATCTTGAAGAATATGGGAAATATCAGATGACTGGAAGAAAGCTTCAAAAAGAAGAACTGAAGATATGGGATGTCAATCTGACATCAAAGAGCATATCATAAAATAGCTGATCCATAAGCACTCTGAAAACAATGAAGTAATGTTTCATTATAAAATTAAATTTATTACATTTTTTAATTGGATAATTTTGTACACAGATTGTAGAAATGTTGTACAAAACATTTACATAACATAATTATACCCTGATTTCAACAAATATAACCCTAAGACATTCCAATGGAGATAATTATGTGGTTAATTTTGGGCAAGCTAATTTGATACAGGGTGGCTGGCAAATCTTTTTATGACAAAGTAACTAGTTTAATAGATCAAGGGAATGCTGTCAATTATGTATATTTTGATTTCACTAAAACATTTGATAAGTTCTCTCATGATAACCTTGTGGACTGATGGATAAATGTGAGGTAGAAGATACAGCAACACAGTAGATTTCAAAATGATTGAATAAGCACACTCAGAAAGTGTTTTGCATCATCCTGAAAGGAAGTAACAATGGGGCTTTCCCAGGATTTTCTCTCTCCTTGTCTCAGTATTATTCAGCATCTTTATAAATGACTTAGAGGAAGACTTACCAAATTTGCTAAGATATTTGTTCTTATGCTTTTATGTTGTTGCACTGTTTTGCTTTTCGATGGCGGCCTTAGTTTGTTTTTATTACGTACTTCACTATATGCGTGTTCATGTATGACATAAGGCACTGCACTCTCAGTAACTAACTTCAATAAGCAGTCGCTGTCACCCAGGGATTAGAGCACATGAGTTTCAGGATATAAAAATCAAGGAGCACGGTGAAAAAATGGGACTAAAATTAAATATAAAGAACACCAATAATGACAATAGGTTCAACTATCAGCCTTAGAACTGACAATGAAGATACTGAAGTGGCAGATAACCTTTGTCTTTTAGGATCAACAAGAAAGGAACAAGTAGTCAAGAAATACATTGTAGACTAGCACTTGGTAGAGTAGCAATGAAGACTTTGGAAAAGATATTTGGATGCTGTGATGTATCTATACCTACAAAGATCAGAATCATGCAGGCAATGGTTTTCACAATGACGCTGTGGAAGCAAAAGTTGAACTTTGAAGAAGCAGGATAGAAAGAGTATTGACACTTTTGAACTTTGGTGTTGGAGAAGACTCCTGAGAATACCATGGGCAGCAAAGAAAACAAAGAAATGGATCATTCATCAAATCACCCCTGAATTCTCACTCAAGGTACAAATGATCAGGTTCAAATTATCCTACTTTGCTCACATTATGCAAAGACCTAGCTCTCTGGAGCTCTAAACTTGGGAATGATGGAAAGAAAGAGAAGAAGAGGATGACCAACAGCAAGGTGGATGGATTCAGCTACAGTGGCAATGGGTACATCACTGGAAGATCTGAAGGACCAGGTTAGGGATAGATTGTCATGGAGAAAATCTATTTATGTGGTCACTAAGAGGTGACACTGACTTGATGGCATGTAATCAATCAATAGGAATGAACAACAGAGAGCAAAGCACAAGCCCAGTTCCAGTAAACTGCTTGGTAAATACGTTTAAAACAGTGATTAATGCTGTTTGCTAAGATCATCTAA